TCATTGACTTAATCACAAATAATAAAAAAGGCTGCTACTATACCAATTTTTCCCACGTTTTATGTTTAAAAAACACAATTTGGCACAAAATCACAAAGACTCTGCTAGCCCTGGGAAATATTTGATAAAATCACCACTTTTTTGGGATCTGTTGGTGCTTATTTCTTATCTCCAGTGGCCACACACTGTCAAAAGGAAGCACATTGCAGAAGAAAGGACCTTCACCCCCAATAATAAATGGCAGCATCACGACCCCAAGCTTATCAATCAAAGTGCTGTCAAACAGGCTAATCTGGGCTCGCCAAGTGGGGATCAGGTTTCATGTACATGCTACTTACCAGGAGAAAGTAAGGACAAAAGAATTAAAGGTATGGTATGTGCAACAATGCACATTTGGATGGTATAATAACATGTATACCACAGGTTATTACATGTATGAAATCAGGTGGTAACATACTGTAAAATGTATCAACTACATGTATGTAGTACCTTCAACAAGTTGGTTTTATTTCACCAAGTGAAAGTAAGGACAAAAGAATTAACGATAATTTGGAACAATGCACACATGTATGGTATAATCATACTACAGGTTATTGTGAAATCAGGTGGTCACATACTGTACTATAACATATTTTACCTTCAAGGTGGTTTTATTTCCAAGTGAAAGTAAGGACAAAAGAATTAAATATATGGTAGGTGAAACAATGCAGACAGGGATGGCATAATTATACCATAGGTTATTGTGAAATCAGGTGGTATTTTACCTTCAAGGTGGTTTTATTTCACTGTGGATGCAAAAATGAGTTGATTTTTTTGGTGTTTGAAGTGGGGGGGGGTATAATTGTAATAATAATTATAATAGATCTAATATTTGTGCAGAGTTAAAAAAACTGATGATTATAAAAAATCCTAACATTCAAACCAAAACTCAGCAAAGTAACATAAATTTATTTGCATTTTCAATTCAGTACTTTTTCTTTAAATGTACAACTCCAATCCAGATTTTCCAAACCCTACTTGAAAATGTAGCATCATTGTATTTACCCTTAAATTTATTCCTCTATATATAAGTAGCATGTCTAACTTCCATATCAATAGTCAGCAAATCAACATACAATTTCACTTTAATTTCTAATGATACCTTTTATTTGTGAGATTTTGAAAACCTTGAAAGGTACTTGGAATGATTGTTTTTATCCCAAATTTTACTTCTCCATATATAATTAGCATTTTTAAATGTAAGGCTTGACTATATATTGTTATATTCATACAAAACATGATCGGCAACATAAGGCATATTTGACCTGACATGACCCTACGCTCATCCATCAGATAAAGTGTCACCTGGGGGGCCTTAGATAGACGTTTGACAGCATGTTCACTTATATATTGCTTCCTGTTAGCTACTCTCAAACAATGCCAAATTTCCCAAGGCAACGACGATATTATGTCATGCAATTAACGGGGGCAAGCGTTGTTCAATTGAGTGTGTTAATGCATCCAGGTGAAAATCTTCACGAAACACAAGGTTTGTAAAATTTGTACCTGAATTTGAAAAAAAGATCTTATACCAAAAAAATCAAGACCATAGCATGCCTGGATGCAAAAGTTTAAAAAAAAAACAACTGCTGCTGCAGTACCAAGGAAAGCTGCCAGGTGGCTTCAAACCGACCCTGAACGTTGCCTTTTGAAGACCTACCCACATACCAAATATCATCACAATCCATTCAAAGCTTATCTTAAGTTATGCCGACCAAAATATTCTGAAGTACAAACAGATAGACACAAAGACGGACTAAAAACAATGCCCTCATTTTTCAACAAGGAAGACATATTCAAGATATGTCAGTGAAGGTTAGACATCCAGGTAATAAGATACATAAAAAAACAGTTACTCCAGCAACTTTTCCGAAATCATATCCAGTTGCTTGAGTAACTGTTTTTAGAAGTAACATATTCAAGATATCAAGTGGAGAGATTACTGCAAAAACTATGAATTTCAAAATAAAACCACTGTGAAAATTCAAAAGTGTTATGCTCGGTCCTCAGTTTAAGGTCAATAAATTTTCTTTACCTAACTTTGCTTTAATTGTTGGTATCATGTACATATCTCCTAAGCCGTGGTACTTTGTGCACCTGTATTGGTGTCGCCAGCTGGCCGTAGTGAAAGTCTGCCTGGCTCAGCGCACAAATCCTACATTTTCCAAACACTGCACCAGTTTTGTACTAAGTAATCACAGCAAACACCCAGATACAGGGGCAAACAGAGACACAAGCATGTTTGTCTTTTGAAGGATTGCTGTTAATTTGTTCTCAAAGAGTCCAGCTATACAATTTGTGCTTTCTGTCAGGTCTTTCATTACAACCTTTAAGATCTTGCTAGTCCTTCTCACATAATGTTTTGCATCGATTAAACAACCAATAGCAACATAGAGGTATCAGGTCATGCTGATGACTGCTTAAACTTCAGTAGGGACTTTTTCCATAGAATCCATAACTGTTACAATATGCAGAAATGCAATTAGTGCAAGCACTCAAATACTCATAAGTGAAAGGATGTCTAATCCTCAAAAGTCGGGGAACAACAGACAATAAACCAGACAGTGAGTGTGTGAGCATGTCATAAGTTATAAAAGCAAGTCTCTAAACCCATGCCAACAATTCATAGACAAATTCGCAATTTTGTGCCCTTAATATTTACAAACTAAAAACTGTGGTACAAAAACACTTAATTTTCTACACTTGTTAGGATTGATAACGGTCTGTTATTTCTCTTCATGTGTAAAAACTGGCAACATCTTTCTCACATGTTCGTAGCCTTATACAGGTGTTTAATTCACTCCTCTTGGAACAGCTATGTTTGTTTGACATTTGTGTACAGCAAATTTCTCCTTGAAGACAGATCCTGAAGTAGTTTTCCTTTGTTCTGGTCCAGACAAATTAGCGGCAGGAGCAGGTAGATTTAAGTGGATTAAGATGAAACAGTGTGGCACGTTGTGAGCCCCCCTTTCACTCCAATTCTTCCCGATCCCCGGCATTAGTGGCACAAAGGGAGAAAAGGGGGAATTGTTGGGGGGTGGATTCGGTGGATTTGTACTCGCTCTTTCAACCCAACAACAGGCCAATTTCGGACAGCTGTGAGGCCCTGTCCAACAATTTACATCAAGCAGAAAAGAATTGTAAGGAACAGCTGGTGTTTAGAATCACTACTGTGGTTTAATGGATTATACACAACGGTGACCAATTCACACTTCTTATTCTCACAACTTTAATCTAATGTTTAAGTCCTCAATATTGGACTAAGGAGGCAGTCAAGAACAGACAATCAAGAAGAAACACCAAAAAACAGTTACTCAAGCAAATGGATATGATTTTGGTTGCTTGAGTAACTGTTTTTTTGGCGTAGCTTATTACCTGGATGTCTAACCTTCCCCAACGAATCAAGAAAAAAGTTGACTAAAAAGTGTCCAATTTGAAGACAAATATCATGTCATGAAAGAAAAAGAAAACTTGATAATATATCTAGGGCTCGTACAATCCTTTGGTCATATCATATGTAGTGACCTGGATTTGACTAATTTTTTTTCATTTCCTCAAATGTTTGGTACCAGGAAAGGTGGTTGAAATTTATAGCTTTCAGGTTATACAAAAAAGACCCTTTCATTTAAGGACTGTGCAATGATATATGTAAGACGCCATACTCTGCAGAGTGCCTGTCAACAATGATATATGAAATCTGGTCGATAACATATGATTGACCAAGATCAGACCAAGCATATACTGCAAAAATAAATTTCCAACAAAACTATAGAAAAAAAAAGCTACATGTTGAATTCATATAAACCGATCATTAATGTAAATATACCTACTAGTGGTCATACTTAGTCAACAACCACCTGTATGAATTGGGAAAAAAACTTTTTAGGACACACGCAACCACGCTTTGTGTTACCATGGCAACTGAATGCTAATCCACGCAGAGGTCACTGGAGGTCACAAAGGTTGACCGCTGTGGCCCAAAAGTTCCCCCTAAGTCTGACCCCTTGCGGTTGATAAGGTAATAGTGCTGGCTTAAGAAAGGGGATTTTTTCAATCCGCTGACCAAATAGGTCATTCTCAGCAATGAGTCATGGTCAGTGCAGCTGGGGGATCATGAAGTCGGATCTTTTGTTAAGGGCTCATTTTGGTCTTCACGCACATTGTGTCCTTAACAGCATCAAGAGAGAAATCAAGCAGTATTGGGTAAGGGCCTGTTTTGGGGGTCCCGACAATGCTCTACAATGAATTCGGAAACCTCTCGATTACGCTTTACGATAAATTCCAAGTGGCTACAACGCATTACGTGGAATTAAAATGGCGAATACGCTCTATGCAAAATGCGCTAATTACGCTCAACGTTGAATTAGAGCGGTCCGTCTACACTCTACGTAGAATTAAAATGGCCAATAACGCTCTATGGAAAAGGGCATGCGAGGGATCGAAAACCCTACTCTTGCTGTGCAAGTCATATTTTCTATGCGGGACTTACTGGAGATGCCATGGTTGTCTGGCACGCAAGTTATCTTTTTTTTCAAAGCAACCTTTTTATTACAGTTTCAGAGGCCCAGCTTACAGCTTTTGAAAGAAACTGTGTCCTGCCAAGTGCATGGCCTGTATCTGAACGATACATTTACAGGTGGCCTGGCTTAAGGGTTGCCTTCTAAAATTAACAGCCGGTGCTGATGGCAACCTGAAATATTGGTAGGCAACCTAGCTTTTGGCTAAAAGAATAGGTTGCGCAGTGCGCAACCTGAAAGAGAAAAAAAGTATTTCGAACCCTGATATATATGTATATTTTCAGATCTTAATTCTGAGGACCACCTCTGGTGCAAATGCATAAAACTTTATACATTTTCACATAAAATGGTGGCCTTCAGAATTGAGACAACCCGGGAAATAACAGTACATAATTTTGGTAGAATTGTATGGACTATACCACGAGGCAGTAGGGGTGTACCGACCTGTTCTTCCACCCTGGATAACCTGGCCACTATGGTGAGTTTGGACCGGTCCAGACCCTGCTCTCGACCTGTTAGGTATGCTCCTGGTTTGCCCAACGTCTGATCCAACCTGCAAGAGGAACAAACAAAAAAAACTTCAAAAAGTCCAGAGCATGGGATAAACAGAAGTTCTGCTGTAGTATGATAAAAAGCTGCTAGGGGGCCAGCATAATTGAATTACACGAATGCCCTCCATTTGCAATTGTATCACAATGTTTCGCACAGGGATAAGGACATAGTGAGAAAAGAAAAGGGGGAGTAGTGTAACAAAGTGACTGGGGTTCAAGTGCTATCAACTGGCTCAGTCCAATGGGTCCGGAACTTTTGGCCTAGTGGTTAGGGTGTTGACTGAACTGGCTGCCTGGGTTTGGTGCGGGTTTGATTCCCAGTGTCCCAGAAGCCAGGGGTTTTCATGTTTCCACTCGCCCCCAGTGTTTTAACGATCGCACTATGTATGTGACCCCACTCGTACTTAGTAAGATTTCATTCTATCAAACAGAGATTTGAAGAAGCAGAAAACAAACACCTCTAACCTTCTCTGTAGTTCCTTGATGCGTACCATCATGTTGACGTGTCCCTGGGAATATTGCTCAATGACGTCTCGAACATCGTACGGTTTTCGAGCTTGCTGTAAGAAAATCAACACTCATTACTGAATTCACTTTTTGCGAAAAAAAGTAAAAACTAAATTTTTCAACAAAAAAATCAAAGTTCCTATCAGGGGAAATAAGTAAATGTTGTTTTCGCTGATACACTAATAGTATACTAAATATTAGAACTTTTTTTTTTTAAATTTCATTGTGCTGTATAATTTCCGTACCTGAAATTTCCTCCTCGCTACGAAGTATCGAATCCTTCTGATGACTCGTATCGCAACCTTGTGCTGCTCTGACAACCTGGAGAAAAGAAATCACACTCAGTTTATTCTCAGTGATACAGACAAGAACAGATTTCATAATCCTAATGCTTTCCACTCTACATTTTGTGTACAAGCTTGGAGTTGACATTGAGTTTTACTGCCCTGAAATTGCTTAGAACAACATTGCTTAAACAACATTCAATTTAATGAGAAAGTGTGTGCACACCTTTGCAAGCACTTCGGCAGAACGTACTGTGCCTGGGCAAAACCTCCATTTTCCACGGTTTGTGTTGGATTTTTGGTTGACATTGCAGAATTTTCCTGTCGCAGACAATATTTTTTCTGACATAACATTTGGAAACTACAGACAGAGTGTTAACTTATATGTGCAAATACGACCTTACAGTTACATAAAATGTTCTGCCAAAGTGTATATGTACAATACATTACGCATTTTGCACAGGTGCAGTATGCTCTGCTGACATGCTATTGGTACCTTTGCACATTATGTTACCTGGCCATACCAAATACAGCCTACCACACTACCAGCTAGAGTACAAGTGTTTAACCCCCAAAGGAGTACAGAAATATCCTGGTGACTGACTGCTGTCTGTACACCTTATATGGAAAAGTTACTAGTACCTTGATATCCACCATCAAAGCTTTCTTTGGCAAGTGGGGATACATTAAAGGCTCAACAAGTTAACTCTGAACACTTTAAGGAAGTTGGACTTAAATCTTTCCCTGAGTTCAAATCCCCCTACTGTCCACCTGAGTTTACATTGACAAATGCACAATCCTGCTGACTTTTAAAGTAAAATTGTTTGGTCAGGAACCAATTCGAAATGATCTAGCATAGCTCAAATGGATTCAATGAACAGTTGCATACAGTATTTATACTAAATTATAGGTTTATTCAAATTGGAAGTTGCAAAGGTCTTTTTGACATGCACATTTGAGCCTATGCACTGCATGCCTTCCCAGTACTAGCAGTATGCATGTTGGGTTTTCTTCGTTGTACAATGTGTTCGTTATAATTTGCCATGCCCTTTTTCGTTGTTGTTATTTGAAAAACACAATAAAGAGAGATTTAAAAAAAGGATTTGAACTCCCAGCTTTTTGGTCCACAGAGGCAGGGTCGCTAACCACTGGACTAAACCAGCTGCCTACAGACCGTCTGATATCAGTTGCCTCAGAAAGCTTAGTAAATTTCAGGTTTCACACCTGTGCTTTCTCTAGAGCTCTCCAGACAGTGTTTGTTGTTCCTGTGACCATACAGACCATTCAGGGGAAAAGCTGGACTGAATATAAATAAGCCCAACTGGGGTAAGGCTCTGAAAGTGAAGTTCTGCTGAAGGGGGCTGAAGTACATGTTGTTTGTGAAGGGTTTGGATGGAGGGCTCTTTTACTCATGTTTGTTATAACTGCCACTTGTAAAAGGACTGGCCTTGTAGGTTAGGTGATTGAATAGTTTGGATGACTAGTCATTTTCTTACATGCATTTATTGGAGAAAAAGTTGTTTGTGAAATTTTTCTACATGTTGATTTCTTTGCACAAATCTATTAGATATGTTGTGAATTTTCTCCTTTATTTTCTGATATATGTAACGCTAGCGTTACCTTTCTAGATCTATCTAATGTTGATACTTTCTAGCTACTTCAAACTAAAATGATAAATAAGACCTAAAAAATAAAATATTATATTTTCTGTGACTGTTACATCATACTAAAGGAAAGTTGACTGATAAAGCAAAAATGGATGAATTTTAGGGGTAAGGATGTTTAAAATGTTTAACTTCACCCCTATATTTGGAATGGAACCATCCTGCCACACAGAAACAGCTGTTGCCCAAGTGCCCCATGTACATCAATACCTGGTCATTTAAATTTGTTGGAGAGGGTTTTTTTCCTTCAGTAGTCATACATGAGCAAGCACAAGAAGTAGAGAGCCATGGAGGGCGTACTTCTACAACATAGCCAGAATGGCAGTCTTGTTAGGCTTAAGCTAGTGTCACAGTGGTAGTTTATCAACAGGTGCTGATACTAGGCTACCAAACTGTTACTACAACATCTACCAAACTATAAAAATCACCAGTAGTTTGTTTGTTTTGCATAACCAGTAACACACCAATTTTGTACAAAGTACAGGCTGGATAAGACCAGATTGTAAGGTTTGAACCACTGACACCAACAAGGACCCCTACTCTATTCGATAAGTGCGGTGGGTTCTTTAATGTGCATGGGGTGTGGCTCTCCCCAAAGGTCCATAATCATTGCCCTAAAGTAACTATTATGCAGTGTATGTCATCATACCAGTATTGAAATTTCCTGGGCTTTTAAAGTGAATCATTTGCCTATAGCTACAGTATATGAAAAATTAAATTTTAGACAAAGTTTGCCAACTTACTATACAGTAGTATTTGATTAACTAAAGGCAATACTGACTTTTCTACACCCATTTCTTGGGACACTGGTGAAGGAAGACGGTATATCAATTGCAAGAGTCTGTATATTTACAAGTCAATGTCTATTACATGTAGTAAGTAAATTGAGAGGCACAGATATGCATTTCTTTTCCTGTGACCGTAATTTATAGGCTTGTTATCTTTAGGTTCAAAAGTTGAAGGATGAAGTAGAAACAAAGTCCCTTAAGTAAATAAACACCAATTTTCCACTAAAAACCCATAAAATCAAATTTCTTGATTGATTCTAGATAGAAACCACCTGTTGCTGTGTGTATAGTAGTGTTTGTGTATTTCAAAATTCTAACAGAAACAAACTAACCCTAAATCTATGATACAAGGAAATTCTACCACACACTGGTAGAGTAAAAGTATTATGAAGCAAGTTAAAACTGTAATTTCCATAAGAAACTGGATTTATTCAAATTTTAGACTGTACAACTCCAGTCTTTCTTAAGAAATGAGCAATCCACTGCTTCTGTGACTTGATGAACAAAAATTTTGGTAAGTCCAAGTTCTTGTGTTGAAAATTACAGTTTAAACTTGCTTCATAATGACTTACATGTATATCAGTACACACAGGTGAACTTTCAAGATTTAGAGTAAAACAGGATTTACTAAATGGACCCAACTATTTGCACAACCAATTAGGAACGTTGCAGAACATTTGGCCAGCTGCTCATTCGGATGTTTTCAACAACCTTCAAGTCGCTACTTCTTGTTGAGTGGCGACACGCTAAACAGTTCTGACTCCTATTTCTACTCTTAGCTTATCGTGTGTTTTTTTTTCAATTGGTTTTTTAGTAAGGATTTGCAATAGATTTATTATTAACCATCCTTGGTCATCCTTAGAGGATTTTCACCATTCTGATAGTACTGAGACTATCAATATGTAGCTCAACTACTATTGAGATTAATAGTTTGTGACTTTTTACAGTTTCAAGTTTTGTGAATTTCATGTCTTATTCATTAATTGTGAATTTTTGCTAATTATATCTAATATGCATTTTCCCAATGTCTCCTGTAAGGTAAGACTTGCATATAGCAGAAAAAGACTTTTTCATCATCATCATCATCACTGCTTTTCTGGAACCTTTGACATAACTTTTTTTCATTCAGTGTCCCTAATATTTTGTTGTTTATTATGTTTATTAAATCAATCTCCATTAGTTTGTACAGAGTGAGTTTCTAAACATACTAATCTTCCTGGAGTCGTAATACTACAACATGGTGAGGCTAGCTTGTGGAATATGTCTAGCTTGTGGAAATTACCACAAGCAAAAACATAGACAAGCTCCCCTGAAACAAAACCTCCATCCATGGAGGTAAAAAGTACTAGTACCTAATAGATTAAGTTTCTGGTTTCATCATAGCTTCTTGACACACTAGTGAAAATAGGGCAGTTGTACAGTTGTCCGGCCCCCGACTGTGTGCTCTTGAGTGTTTGAACCCACAATGACTCTCACAATCCCTGCCAATGTCCTCTAAACGCCGGATTCAGGACTGACCACAAATATTTGTCTTCACAGTTCACACTGCTCTGACATGTGGAGTGGCCAAATTTGAAGGAATGAATTAATCTCTAAGTAGATGTACAAGTGGAGCTTGTTTTGTTCTTTCCTGGATTCTGTCTCTCTCCGACAAGTGACTTTATGTAGAATGTCAGCATTTGCTGGCCAATGCAGGATATTCCCCAGTCATTTTTTCTTAAAAGCAGTGTCTCTTTTTATCTTTTCCATGCACTACTGGTACATATACTAGTACTTGCAGTACTCCTTGCAACGAAAAGAAGTACTGCAGTGTGATTTTTTAAATATTTTTAATATACATAAAAATGTGTGATAAAAATGAATTATATATTTTATCAAAAAAGATTATTTTCTTGCTCTTCTGACATGTTACTTTGTCATTGACCCTTGCACCACTGCCCCCTGATGTGGTCAACTTCTCCAGACATGTCCCAGCCAGAGGGTCAGGCTGGACACACAGACATGTCCAGCCAGACTTCCTGTGGTCCAGTTTACTGACCATGGCCATGACCTGTATGACACTTGGGTTCTATCTACGTCTGTCCTGACCACTTCTTAGTTTCCAACCTTAAACCTTGCCAAGATTTCAACTTGAAGGTCAAAATCTCAACATCTACTTATCATCATTCTAAGCTGTGTGCATGTATATGAAGCCAAAATTGCATGTGTGCAATCATTATAATATAGTATATGTTTACTTTGTATTTCTATAGGTCACGTGCCTGTTTCTCTTTAACAGTTGCTATAATAGGATGGGTGAGATATGATACTATAGCCAGGTGAGTCCTGAACTTGCAGATTGTTCATCAAAGGTTTTGGAAGGCTTTGGAGAAAATTTTGAAATCTTGACTCACAGAAATTGTTATTTCCTGAATTTTAAGTTTGCTGGTTATAGTTCCATGAATTTGTCAATTTTCCTCAGACCGTGAACTTTTGCTATATAAAGTGATTTACAGTATCAAAAATCAAGCCATGCTTTAATACATGACTTTTTGCAGATGGTCAGATGTCCAGAAAGGAGGCCAGGCCAACGGTCAAGTAAAAAGTCACAGCTAACTAAGACATCCTGTCGGATGGTTGGTGTACAGTGTCCACATGTCTGCCCAGACCAGACAGGACAGACAAACACAGTATGTCAGGGGGGAGAGAGCTCATGCTGGGAAGGTCTGGGACCTGGAATCGAGACGGTCACAGGGTCCAGGTAACCATACTGTTGGGAGCTCTCACGCAGTGCCCTTAGTGTCCTAGCCAGCATCCGTCTACATGTACATGTATCTCCCATCAGAAATTTATGCTAAAACCTTAATTATATTAACTATTACCTTACACGTTAGACAATTGAATTGTTTTATTCAGCCACTCTCTTTATAGAAACTTTATTCGCAAAATCATGCCCGAAGGCTAATTGCTTTTACAATCAAGTATTTATTATATTATAATCATTTTGTTCTTAGTGAATTTGGTAAAATTTGATATTTTGGATTTCTTCCTCTATAGTGTAGAAGACATGAGACAATATGTCATTCACACAAAGAAGTAGTTACAAAATCAAGGCCACAAAAGCAAACATTAGGATTAACTCTGATCTGTGATTGTTTTTTCTGAAGATTGTATTTGCTTGTCTTAACACTGTACAAAGTGGAAATGTCATGTGTCTGCTGACAGTGTCTACCGGTAGACTGTGAACTATAAAAGTTAAAGTCAAAGTCCTTGCCACATCTTTTGGTATATAAGGTGGTACTCATCTTCATTTCTGTAGCCCTTGGGCCACACAGTTGTGCAATCAATACAGCAAGGGGCAAGTCCATTGGTAGTGGCAAGTGCTCAACTACCATTATGTTTCTTGTAAGTGCTGTATTTATAAATGAAAAAACTGTAACAACTAGAAAGAGAAAGACTTTCATCTGTTGGTGCCAAAATATTTTGCAATTGATTCTTTCATTTGCACCTCTCTTTTTTTTAAATCAGTTTAAGATAGAGGCAAATACAGGAATACAGAAATTAGATTTCTGCGATCTAAACTTCAAACCAAGAAAATTTCTCCTCTCTTTTCCGTGGATTGACTGGCATTTGAGTCCAGCTGTTGTCCACCATGTGGCGTGTTTACGTTCGGTGTGGGTTTGCCTGGCAGTCTGAGATGTTTGTGTGGGGAGGGGAGCTGTCACTAATCGGAAGGGAAACGTTGACGTCAAGATGAATCTACTGAGTGTTGTGGGAACCATCTGGATGGGGGGTGGGGGGGTGTTACTTGAAACAGTACGATGATGCAATAGTCGAACATTACAGATTACTGCTGTTACTGTAGCCTTTGGGCCATACAGTTGTGCAAGTACATTTTTGTACTGCAGCATAGTACTAGTCCACTGGAAGTGACATGTGTCCAACTACCATTCTGTTTCTTGTAAGTGCTGCATTAATGAATGAACATTACTGCTATTACTGCTACCCGGTAACATAACCTGTCATTTTGTTATAGCTGCAAATAATGAAAAAAAAAAGGAACGTTGTCCATTAAAAAAAAAAACTGAACCATGCATGTGTTCAAACCTCATAATCCTGGCAAAGCCCTAATGTAAGGAAAATTTCAGGAATATAGATTTTGGGGTAACAATATGATCAAATTCTTTTAAACCACCTGAATTTTTCTTAAAGGGTTGTTTGCACTGATACCAGTTGTTTCTTAAATTTTTAACCTTTTCTCCCAAAGTATAGAGTTTGTTTCACAAGAAATGACTTTAAATGGTTACTTTCAAATCCATGGAGAGAAGGCTAAATCTACTTTGAATTCTCGGAATGGAGGTCTAGTCAACTCCAGTGAGGTACGTTATCTGTAACTCTTGCAAGGCGTGCGGTTACTGAGGTTCAAGTGCATTCGTGTTGACAGTAACACTTTTTCAGTATCCAAGAGGGCAGGGGAAGCTTTATTGATGTGACGTTTTAAAGCTGCCGGGGATTTGGTGGGGTTGGCAACATTTCCACAAATAACTTTTCATCAGTACAGTAGGTCTCAGAACTTTTACTGTGGTTTTATTTTCAATGTACTACCAGTGTACTACACAATTGTTTCAATCACAAATCTGAAATATAGCGAAAATCTTAGTTACCCTCTTGTAAGAATACAATAAAATGTAATAAAACCATCACAAAAGGAAATGAATTTACAGTGTCTGATTAGAGCAAAGGCACAGGAGACAGATTGGGCAATTGTATGAAGTCTGTGTCAGAAATATCGTACCAAATTTCTAGGTAAGTTTGAAAATTTGTCGACAAGCCGTAGCACAGTCTAGGCATTCCATTCATTACACAACGACATCGGAATGCACAACGGAAGCTCAGACAAAATGACACAACTTAATCGGAATTTCAGCCTTCCGAACGGCACAGCACCTACAATTACGCGGAAAAACGCTGGCTTTACAAAGCAAGAAATCACAGAGTTGGAGGGAAAAGAAGGTATCAGTGTGAGACGTTTTGACACCCAAAAGTTTATGGACTAACAAAACCACTACCCATACACCACTTGATTAGTATCATCTCGACAAAACCTCACACAGTAATTGAATATAATGAAGTACGGTTAGGATCTTTAACTACTGTCCTTACACTAAACGAGCAGTTTAAAGACCTGTTTTCTGTGAAAATTAGGGAGCAGGTTGATGTTAATGAGTTGAGTGGGAGGTTTGGGAGGAAATATGACCTGTTATTACTCATTAACACCTGTCATTTTTGGTGTAGCGTTGTCATTTTTCCCATGGTTGTTAGTCTTCATAATTCAGGGCTATGCAATATTTTTTGTACAATCAATGATTGCAAGGTTGCAAACTAAGACTAAGATGATTCTTGGGCAAGTTGTGCATGTGTCATATAAATTTCAGCTGTCTTGTTATGTAAAAGGCTTGTTATGGAAAATTTCAGGAAGAAAAAGTAGATATTGGCCAAATAGACACATAACTTGCAAAGTGATTTTCTTCGCTAAAGGAGTACAGTGTGGCAAATTGTTCTCCTTTAGCAGACTAACCCTGGAATGTCATCTCTATATTTTACCAATTTCTATCTTTCCAGCCACTTCAAAAGCCTGGTAAAGGCTAATTTACAACTGTGAAATCTGAAAGAGATAGCCTGGCAGCAGCAGACACCTGTTTCCTGCAATTGGCAGGTGCTGCACACATGTGGCAGTGGGAAAACGTCGGCCAAATGATGGAGGGACAAAACGTGGCTCTGTTTCCGCACTCAGCACTCTTAGCAGTTTGCGGAGAAAGCCATGACGACAAAGGACCAGGACAGAATGTGGCGCTCGGGAATTTCTCGGCTTGGCGTGGGGAAACAAACAAGCTGTTTACTTTCCGCAGAAATACTGCTGCTTGTTGTTGTTGTGGTTGGGCTTAGGAAAAAAAATGTTGTGTTTCCTGTTTCCCGACCGACAAGAAAGAAAAAGTGTAATAACTAGGAAGACCTCTCTTCTTCAATTGTCTCTCTTCAATTGTCGCAAAATATGGGAATTTTTAGGTCAAGAACCTGTACATGTTTTTTTTTTTCAGGTCAGAAAAAGTGGACCAGACAAGTCCAAGAAACAAGAAATTCATTTGGTGTGGCTTTAGACTCACAGTGATTGTTCAGACAAAACCTGTCACAAGTCCTGTCACATGTTATACAGCAAACATTTTGATAACCGGGATTGTCAAACATCAATGTCTTTTTTAAGATGGTTTGCTTTTAAGTTAACTCGTGATGATGATCAAATACCACATGCCTTTTGGCATGTGAATGTGTGTGTGTGTGGCAGGGGTGTGTACATTATACGTTATATTGTCTTCTGTACTACAATTGTTCTCCATGAATAAAGAACCAGATTCATTCTTACATACTGACATGTGATATAGTGATGATCCCTACCTTATATAGGACAGTAAAGAAAGGGCACGAGTGTTAGAAATCCCACCGAAGACTAAATAGTAGTAACTAAGAAACAAGTAATATAGTCTTATCCATACAATTGTGGAGAGAATGTATACTATGTACTTGTCTTAAGTTTTCCTCTTAACCTTCTGTTATCTTTTTCATAACTTTGCACTTTAAAATGTCCAACAACCAAGAAAACAAATAGGTTTGGCCTAAGGTAGGATCTAACACCATTAGGTATCTACAATCTATCTAAATCTATCCTACAACATCATTACTGTACACTTATGTACAGCCCCTAATCTCGTGTGATAGCGGCTCCCCCTATCATAGAAATACAGACTGCAGCAACATCACATTTCTCAACCACAATATGCCATGTACAGAGTAGTACTTACTCTGAGATTGGTTGGGGATGCTGGTCAATATAGTCAAGACCTTCAAATTGGCTATCAGAGAGGCTGAGGATGGATACATCAGGGAAAAAAGAAACAAAGACGTAAGGACATGCAATGGCAAAGGAACGTCAAAAAGGTGTGAGTGAGTGAGTGAGAGAAAGTGCCATGCGTTGTTTATACAAAATCTTGGCAATCGAAGAATTAATTGTGCGCTTGAAAAAATTCCACCATGAGAACAAGTCAATCAATACATCGGACATGTAATATTTGCTTTAGTTTGGAAAAAACGGAACTTATCGGCCGGAATGGATTATGAGAAAGTACAAAGTGTTGAAGCAAAAGAGTGTTATGGACCTGGAAATGTATTGAGATAGGTCTAAAACTTTTTCGGTGGATCTACTTTTGTGGTAAACAGCTCACATAACACTGCGAAATATGTTTTTTTTTCAATCTACTACTGTACTACAGAATTGTTTCAACCTCAAATTTCAAGAGCCACAAAATAAAACCACCGCAAAAGTATACAAATTTACAGTACATGTAGTTGACCTTTTAATCGTTATCTTCTAAAATGTGTACAAAATCACCCAACTCACCAGGCATAGCCATCAAAAATTTTTTCCCCCGACTCGTCAGGATTGTCGTCCACAGACGGCATGAAGTGGAAGGAGACTGAGTTTGTGTCTGAGCTGACTTCGCTGTTTCGTCTACGAACAAGATTGCCGAGGCCCCGTCGCTCACAACTTGGAGAGCTGCCTGTTGCATTGGAAGAACGTTAGTCAACAAAAATAAATTCTTTCCTCCAATAAATTTTTTCGTCCAAGTAGAGTGATGATTCCAGAGGTGTTTTGAATGTTTTTACTGGACAAAATATCTTTCAATATAAATTTTGTGCAACGGAACAATAACAATGTGAACCCAGTGTTACAGGAAAGATGGTACCCCTGTCCATAAGGTACCCTGGTACAGTTTTGACAGGGGGTACCGTCTGGGCTGTTATAGCAGATGAAATCATTTGTAAAAGAAAAACTTTATTGCACAACAATATAATTGTACGTGGTACAAGGTATGCCAACGACTATTGAACATACATGTAGTACAAAAAAAAGTGTATAGAATGAAAATTAACATCCTAATTATTAAACGAGTACCAGGTCTTGTGGACTCACTGTAGTCGACGATGTTACCTCCGGACGCTGGCGGTGTCTCTGTCGTGTCCTGCTTCTGTTCGGGACTGTTGGGTTTCTGTTCTGTCTCTGACACAGAGTTGGACAGGATATTGTTCAGGATGGATTGCTGTGGACAGAAACAGAGACTGGGTGTAGGAAACCTCAACATTTCTGCAAAATGGGAAGGTCCCTCTTTTTGATAAGTGCGGTGGGTTCTTCAACTTGCGTGGGGTGTGGCTCTCCCCAAACACAGGACCTCCATTCAACATCCTATCCGAGAGACGTCCCTAACCAAAGATAGGTACTCATCTACACCTGAGCAAAGTGAGGAAAGTTGTGTAAAGTGCCTTTCCCAAGGGCACAATATCGGTGACAAGGTGGGGTTCGAACCCGGTACCTCTTGGTTCCGAGCTACCGCTATGCCACACGATCCCACACATACACACATGCCCCCTTAAATCCTACCTGGAAGTCAAACTTAGTTCTGGATGTAATCCTCTTGAGTAGAGAAGGTTTTTTGTTGAGGCCGATGCGTGAGGTGGTCTGGTTGGCTCGGTTCTGTTGAAACTGGCGCAGGTGGATGTTCCAGGTGGCCTCCGAGTCAAAACCAGGCTCCGCACAGTAGCAACGCCACAGGCACTGTGGGGCAACATTGGATACATAATGTTACATGATGTTTTCAGTATCACCCGATGTCTAGTAAAGAAGGCTGGAGTGACTGGTCAAGAGCTCTAGGTGAAAAAAAATTGTTTCGTTGGAACAAAAGATTTAACTTTGAGCATTAACTGTTTTTAAGAAATCAGGTGAAATGCGTTTGAATCATTCTATGAACATGTGGAAGCCAGTGTGATAACTATAATAACCCCATGTGATACAGGTAGTTAGTTATCACATGGGCCAGAGCATCCGCATGGAACATTAGACAGTAGATGAAGACCGTACCTGGATCAGAGTAGCTGCTGCCGGGATCTGTCTGTTGAAATGTTTCTGTCTCTGTTTCTGCTGAACTTTCAGAGCAAAGCCTGATCCCAAGATACCCTAAATGGACATGGGACAAATTTTCAGTTTTACCTTTATACATGTACCTACTAACACAGATGAACATTCATGATGAACAGAATTGATTTCTTTGGTCTTCAGCAAAGAAGCTCTACCAAGAATGTTTCGATGGTCTATGCTCTTTCTTCTTTTCCATTTTTTATATAGAATGCAAAAATCTGATGATTTTTGCAGCAGAAAGAATGACATATCTACTTGAGAATCATCGTACAAAAAAGTTAGTAAACCACTCACGGCAGGAAGAGCGAAGAACGATATGGCGAACACTGAGAAACATGATGCGATCAGCTTGCCAATCCACGTGTGTGGTGTCTTGTCTCCATACCCAATAGTTGTTACTGTAATCTGGAAACATAAAAAATGGTTAAGGCCCCCTTTCCACTTAATTTCTGAGCCCCCATTGAGTGACCAAATTGGAACATTGGTTTTAAACTTCGAATACAACGATGAACAATGTCAAAGTATGCTTGAAAAGTCATCAAAATACACTGAAATTTTAAAAATCCTTTCTTTGTCTATTATGAAATGTAATGTCACTGACAGAGAAAACAGTTATTGTTCCATATATTATAGGCTGGTTCTAGCTATATAAAGGGACTCAGCCTACATTGCTTGTTTTGGGGCTATATAAATGCTTTAAGAATGAAATTATGATGAAAATATAATAAGAAAAATCAGATTTCCTCATCTAGTATATTTCTGTTTTGAAATTACATTGAATCTGCTGAATTGTAACATCCTAAACAAAGCTAGTGGACATAACAAACGTACGTTGCCTGGTCACCCCTAGTGGTGTATGTATACTGTTGTCATTAAACAACACTGAAGCACATTCCTATGGGAGAAGGTAGCACCACTGGGCTTATAGTTGTGTAAATAGACGTGGAATTAAGTTAAGGAAGACCTCATGAGAGACAAGACACCTGTTATGTGGGACAAGTTTCAGGGGGACTGCTCTTGTGAATAGCGTATTTGCATTTATGAGGGTTCAAACAGTGGATATTACTTGGGGACAGAGGAAAAATGTCCAGACTATGTTTGAAATATCATCGCTAATGATGACTAATAGACTGGTGGACATATGTAACAACTACTAAGTACCTAATAGCAGCTCAGAAAAGATCAAGGAATAGTCATGCCTTCCAGTACCAGAGTTATCAAACATTGAGGTGTTGAAGAACTTGATTAATAATTCCAATTCCAATTGACATTTACATTCTAACAGTTTACTTGCATAAATTCTACATTCAAAAGTGTCATAATATTCTCTAAGTATTTTACAAGAACCATTAACACCTTTCAATAGACTATCAACACCTCAGCTATGTTTACTGACTTCACTGCTGAATTATCCAAACTCGTTTCTCGTCCTTTCAAACAATTTCTGGATGGTCAGCTTTCAAAGGGTCTGATTCGAATGAACGGTTGACAGAATGTACCTTTCACACTTTGCAAACTGTGCTGTTCTGGTTAACAGACATTCTGTGTTTTCTTACGTTTTTCAGACAATTAGGAAGCTGTACAGGTGAACTGTTTTCAAAGGAGTGCCCTACAAGATGGACCAGTGGCAGGGGATACGGTCATGTGCTAAGGCCTTGGAAAAAAAGTGTTGTGTTTCCAGGTACATTTCTGTAAATTTAAGGTTTTGGTACCTAAGGTTTGTTATAATTATGATTTGTTGCTATTAGACATTGGCTGAACTGATTTAAAAAATACAGTTTAACAATATAAAACTGAAATGCATCAAGACCAGGGCTGTCTTCATTTGTTTGTGGGAAAGGGACAAATATCTCACCTGATTTACACTGTACTCAATAAAAATTTGCTTCTGAAAATGTGTGAAATAACCTTTGAGTGGGTGTCAGAGCAACAATTTTTCTACCTTGACAGACCAGCAATAGACCCCCCAAAAGGGCCGATTTACACGGGGCAAAAAATATCTTTTGGCTTGGTGACACTGGCACAGGAAAGTCAACGCACGGCGACACGTGACGGTAGCAGGCTTGTCAACACGCACACATGCGTCGCTCAAAAAAAATCTGTTGCACAACATGCATCGTTCTACGCAGCGCAGGCCAAACAACATTTTTTGCGCGTGTAAATCAACCCTTATATGGGTTGAAAATCAAACCCAGAAACACAATATTGTTTTACCTAAGCCTAAAGTGTAGGTGACACACTGTTCTCTGAGGAGGTCTGAGATGTCTGAATGCACGACTAACTTCTAAACAAGAGTAATGCTTGAGTTGGAGTTAACAAGGGGCTCCACACTGCAACAGCCTCCAATTCTACAGGTGTCAGGGACTAGTAGTAATGCTGTCGACCAGGACTGAAAGAATACAGCTGGTATACTTTTAGTATTAGCTACAGATTGGAACTGTACAAAGGTTAAACTAAAACAATGGGTTAGAACACTTGTTGGATAGAAATTCATGTACTCACAATAATTGGTGGGATTTCTAGAATTTTCTCATTTTTTTAGAAACATTGTCCTGATATACACAAATGTATGTACTATGTATGTAGTGGTTGTCGGACAGTCCTGTGTCAGTATGCACTTGAATTTCTTCTTTGAATCCATTGATAGAAATACTGGTATAGAAAATGATATATGGCTTCAATTGATGAACCAAATTTGAATATAAATGCACATAATACTGGATAAAACAAATTGTGAATAAGAAAGACCTAATAATTACCATGTAAACAATGATCCCATGGAACATATGGTTTCCCTTTGTCATGAATTTTCTCTCTAATTTAGCATTTAGAGTTGACAAATGATTGTGCTTCAATGCTTTTGTAAAATGGAAACTTTGCTAGAGTTAATGAGATAAGGGAAATTGTGTGGTAATTAACTAATTTGGTTTAAAATGATACCAGTCTTTACATACATGAAGATATAAATCTAATTCAAACTTGAAATGCTCTTGGGACCAGCCTTTTTTCCAGCCTCCATAGCATGCCAAAAACTGGGGGTTTGGGGGGTCTTCAGGCTCTTTGGGATCTTTTATGTGCTATTTTCTGATTGCATATAGACAACATAGCTGGCCTGGTTGAATTACCCCCGTTTTTTTGGCTAATCAGAAAACAGCCGAAGACCACCAAACCCCCAGTTCTATAAGCCTGCTACGGAGGCTACCTTTTTTTTCTCTTTCAAATGGCTCCAAGACTGCTAAATTTACATGGCCCATTGTAAGTTTTGTTTAGAAAGGGATAATAAGACACAGTGAAAGATCCTTAAAGCAATAAAAAACCAATTAAAATGAAGTTACCATTCAAATAGCAGGCTTCATTTTTGAAAGGAAAAAAAAAAGAAATTTCCCTCTTGTGAGTTGATCTAATCCCCCTGCTGTGTCCATAGTTGACAGGATTAACGTGACAGTTTTGTGGAGGAATGCTAATCTTGACGTTTCACACCTCTGACAATGGTCTAATCTCAAGAGAAAGGGTCGTGTGAGGGTGTAAATTTGTTTATGAAGTGGCGAGAAGACAATTCTGTTGGGGTATATGGACTGGGTGGTATGCATGGCAGCTCTGAGACATGAGAGAATAAGGATAGAAGCCTATAAGTTTTGTCTCATGATAATTCTCCAATACAATACACAAACCAACTAGAAAGGCCAACATTTGCACGGGAGCAAATGCAGCAAATGGCTTCACCACATGGTGAAAGAATCCAGTATGTGGTGTGGTGAAGCCATAACAATGCTTTACATTGAAATTGAAGCCATAAAAATACATTTAAGCCCATGTAACACTCTCTATATGCAGGCTTGCACCTTTACACTTTAGGTAGCCTGGGTGCCAGACTGCTTCTTAGGCCTTTCTCGGCCAGCTCCTTGGCTCCAGGGTCAACTTAGCCTGGGTGCTAGACTGTTTCCAGGGCCTACACAGGCCAGTTCCTTGCTCTACGGTCAACATAATAACCCAGCCCCCCCTCAGTTAGTCTGCAATCCAGGCTAACTTTGGGTCAAGCATGTTATGGGTCTGGCATCCAAGCTAGGATCAACATACAAAAGGAAATTTTACTACAGGCACAGCCCTCTAAGTTACTAGTACTTGGACCCTGTTACTGTGTTAAAATCTTCTTGGAGAAATATTGCCCTAGAGCCTAGGAGCTGGTTTCCAGGCTTGGCATCACAGGTGGACCATGCATGGTTGGACCTGGTGTCAACACTGCTTCACAAACTTCCTTTCTAATTCAACCTCATCATAACCTGTAAATAACCCACTTCCTTCCTCAGATAGAACAGTTCCAAAGGGCCACATCCATTAGATTTGTTGTTTCACAGACTTTCCACATGTTTCCACTGTATTACCACTGTACCACAGAACTGCAAACTTAAAACAGGTCGTGTGGCGTAGTGGCAGCGTGCTCAACTCAGAACCAAGAGGTCCCGGGTTTGAGTCCTGCCATGCCACCAATCTTGTGCTCTTAGGAAAGGCACTTTACACGATTTTCCTCACTTAACTCAAGTGAAAATGAGTATTGTCTTATCTTGTATTCGTCACCTCTGCGTTGGGGGCGGCATAAAATAAGTTGATATAACTTGAGTGTGCTGTTGCCATGTCCAGTCACGAAATGTTGGAATAAAAAACAAACAAACTTAAAACAAAACAAAAGCCTCTTTTCCTTCCCTACTGCCCCACAAAAATAAATGAATTCACAGGATAGTTGATTTTAGTAAAAGCACCATGAAGTTTTAAAACCTAATTTCTTCAAGTTTCACTAGCATCATCGGTTTTAAAGTTACAAAAATATGGGAAATGTATAAACCACAAAATATGACTGCTCTAGCCTTGATGCTAGAATGTAAAGTGATCTGTTTCATGGTGCTCACATACACTTGTGTTTCCACAACAGTGGGACTTTCAAGGGAGAACAACTGTTACAACAAACCATTTTTCTGAACTATCAATCAAACTTACACAAGTTTCCCTGCCCTAGCCTTGGCTCCTCCCACAAAATGGGAGGAGCCAAGACAGACAATATCCCTTCCAGTTTTCTTTCAAGAAGCTATGGATAGATTGTCATGATATTTTGTATGTGGGTAGGTATTGCCCTAACAAAGAAATGGTTAGATTTTCGGCCCTCTAGTGACTTTCGTTGGTACTGCAGTAGAACCCTCAGATTTCTGGAGTCTATCGTATCAAAACATGCAGTGAATGATTTTTTAATGCTACCATGCATGCATACACTACAATTGGTCTCACAATACTGGCTGTTTTGTAAATAGAGGACAGATTACAAGTCTTCTGCAACTCTGTCAGCCATGCAAAGATATTTCTTCCTGAAAAGGTTAACTGTGTTGAACAAACAAAAAAGAGTTCAAAAGTTTGTT